TCATTTTTGTTGTGAAAAATCATTTTTATAATAATCATAATCAATTGGTATCAAAAATAGGATTTTAGAGCTCAAAAATAGCAATTTCAGACAAATTTCCGGACCAGAGTTTCGGAGGATCGATCCAGCCCTCTGGATCGCTCCAACTAGAAGAAAAACTCCCAGAGGATCGATCCACTCTGTGGATTTTCAGCCACTGTTCATTCATCTTCAACCTCGGTCCATTTTTCGGGAAAACCCTTTTTAGTCACCGAACTTCAATTATACTATATAGAGATGTTCTCCAAGGTTCATAGATCATATTAGAATTATTAAAACATATTTTTAACATCAAATTCAAGGTTTATGATTCTTGGTTCTTCAAACATGTCAAACACAAAACTCAACCAAATGACCATTTATGAACGTAGAAACGACCTATATGAACATTCTAGTCATTAGATATATCTAGGGGCTTACCTCGAAGGTAAATGAAGGTTTTGAATATTTTCCGGCGAAACTTCCGGCGACTATATCTCTCTGCTCCGGCGACCTCACACAAGAATGACAGTACCATTTAACTCTACTCTCAGCAAGGAACAAGATAGAAGAAAGAATGAGTTGTTTTGGTGAGGAAATGAAGGAGTTGGCTCTCCTTAAATAGCAAAGTGAGGAAGGAAGAAGACATGGGTTGCAGCTTCCGTGATTGAGCGACGATTTGGAATCGGCGCAATTGAACAGGGCGCCGTTTGGTGTGTAGTCCTTGATTGAGACTAATTTTTGGTCCTAGTCGGGGTACACTTTTCGGTCCAACTTTCTCTGAATTGAAATCTGTTTGCACCGTTGCGATCAGACAGTCGAACTCTATCCAACGATATAATTTTTATATTCATTCTTTATACTTTTTCCGACACCACATTTTTGGGTGTTTGACTTTAACAGAGTCAAAATTGGTTTAATTGATCTTTCTCATAAAAGGTTCTCTCATTTAATTCATATCAATTATTCTCATGATTTATTTCAACAAATCATTTCAATATTTACATTCTAAACAAATTCTTTATTTACTCTTGATTTGGGTCTGTACTTAGGTTCACAATCAAGACCACACAAATAGTCCACATATTGGATTTATCTCTATGAGACTTATCCAGATTTTGATATTAAATGTCAAAACAAATTTTGTATCAGTCCAAAGCCCAACAATAATTTATTTTAATCAAAACAAATTTGATTAATTGATTATTTATTCATTAATAATTCTAGGGTATATTTTGGGGCGTTACAACTATAATGCATCTCTTCATTGCTAATCGATAGTTGCTATGAATTCCTAATAAAATCTTTATGGCTGAATAATAGATCTTTGAACATGTGGTGTGGGCTGATGAGGCATTGTTCAAAGGTTCGTATATGAGTGCTACAAGGGAGAGATCCTGTGTTTGAATCTTGGTGGCTGCGATGAGAGGCAACCATGCAAAACATGGGGCTTCTGCAAGTATCAGCCATGCAACCCCACCTCTATACCAATTGACTGAGATTATAGCTCAATTTACCTCTTCTCAGCTAATTATTCGGTTGGTGTTGAGGTGCCCTCGGGGATGGGGTGATATCCTTTTTTGAACATGAGGTGTGATACAACCGACTGAACATTAGAATCATCTTCGTAAATATTAGGTGTGGTCAACACAATTTCTAGATTCCAACTGAGCGGTCATCCCCGTGAATTCTAATTTCATGGGCATTTTTGTAACTTCCCTCATCAATTCCCTCCTCCTTGGTCTAAGTGCCAAAATGAAAGTTGACAAGAAATTGGAATAGATGGAGTATACTCAATTGACTAATTTAATAGTTTGGTAGTAATAGTTCGGTTAAAGATTTTCTGTAATACCAGTGTTGAAATGAATTGGATTGAAAATAGTTCAAAAAAATTTGATAATACTACTCATATTAACAAGGCACATCATTTTTTGAGAGCACATAACTTAAAATTAAAACTTCAAGATTAAGCGTGCTTGACTTGAGTAATTCTAGCATGGGTTACTGTTAGGATATTAATTTAATATTTTAAAAGACTTGTGGGAGGGAAGATTATAGGGAATTCTAGAAGTTGGTAGAGATGTGTAAAATTCTCTAAAATATTGTGGAACATTCTAGAAAAGTGTAGAAGTCTCTAGAAATTTGTAGAAGAGTGTAGAAGTTTGTAGAATACTTTAGAATTTTCTAGAGAAATGTGGAAGTTTCTAGAAGTATGTGAAAGAATGTAGAACTCTCTAGAATATTTTAGAGCTACGTGGAATCCTGTAAATTCTTTTAAAATATTATTGAATCTTCTGGAGACTTTCTAGAAAAGTCTAAAAATTTTGAAATGTGTGTAATATTCTAGAGAAGCATAGCCTTGGTGATGAGTATAAATAGGGGCGTGGATGTCTTATTTGGTAATCTAAGTGTGAAGAACCAAGAAGGCTTCTTGAAAGTACTAGTACAGAGTTATTTATGAAGTTGTGTCATTGTATTATTGAGTGTGCTCGTGTAAGTATACGTATACAAGTTCATAACAATTCGGGTTGATATTTTTCCCCACCCCTAAATTTCGTACTCAACTTGGGATGTTTACTTTTTTATTCATTTCAATACTTATTTGAATTTTGAATTTTGTTTTTTTATCAAAGTCTTGGAATATCTCAAATATTTAAAATAGTGATAACCCTAAAATCCTGTTTGAGGTGGAGAAAATTATTTATTCTACCTAGCCTTGTCCAAAATCATTTTTTTCTAAAGAGCTACCAAGTCGCAAAGGCACCGTTAAGCTCTAGTGTGAAGCGTGATCAATTTGGAGCAAGTCTAAAATCATGTTAGTTGTTTTAACTTTTAAGTATTTCCTTCTTCCCTCAATTGATAACACTATACAAATAATGTGTTAAATTATATTATTTTTAAAATTATTTTATTTACAAATTGGCCTTAGCTTAGAAGAGGTCTAGAATAATAATTATTTATAATAAAATTTGTTATAAATTTTTGTGTAACAAATGATGAATATTGTGATAACTAAAATGACACGTAATTATTGTGAGCTATGGATTGACATCTGCACAAATCTGGATGGTGGATATTTTTGAGTTGACTATATTCATTACCACTATTAAAATATCAAAGATGATTTTTAATATGAAAAAGTGAATGTTTGAACAGATATATGTGATTCATATTGTGATTGAAATTATTCTGTGATTTTTTTGTTGTGTCATAGTACCACTTAGCTTCATTGCTAAGCGTGTAGACTTTTTCTTCTTTTACACGTAGGTATGAGAGAGAATAAATGTGAAGCCTGTCTTGGAGGGTACTGAGATGGAGAGGTGATGCGGAAGCGTGCACAAATTTGAGTAAATGATTTTGTAATGTGTTGAAATATGGCTTGACCGTACTCTTGTAATTTGCAAATCGCTTCCGCACTGTTTTAAAATAATTGTACTCCGATGTTATTCCAAAATATTTTGCACAGTTGTTTGAAATAAAGTTTGTTAATGTTTTAAATTGTAATGTTACCAAATAAATACTTTAGTACGAAAGGGGCTGCAGACCTGGATGGATTATGGTGTTACAAGATTAGGGGTTCGCGTTTCGGGAGGTTGAGGAGATTGATCCAAGGGAGTGTAGGAGTGAATTACAATCTAATCTGGCTGCCACGTAAAAAAATGCCATGTCACAGGACACATGTGAACACTACAACTAATAAACTCTATTTTACACACACACACACACACACACACAGATATATATATAGGATAAGATATGATAGGATGTACTATGTAGGATATATGATAGGTGGTGCAAATTTGATGCCCACTTTTTATGTACACGTACACTGAACATAGTTATAAATTACATCATTGGTCAAATTGAATTCTACACACTTCTTTTTCATTCGCCCAAAAAGAATCACGTTCTTTTAAAGAAAAAATATGTAGTACAAAACATTTCTACAAATTATATTGGGCGTATCTACTTCTATGTCTATGCAGATGAGCATTGTGTACCACACTCACCATCTCACTTAAATCACACTTGTAATGCATCACTACCACTATAATGATTACACTTTTATTTTTTATAAATAATTATGTTTTTATATTCAAATTAAATTATTTCATTTATAAGTTAATAATGTAAAATCATACAATTCGTTGTTATTATTATTGTTATTATATTTTCGTTATTAACTTTATTTCGTGGTCCTATTTTGTTTGTTTAACTTTTATACAATTTTATTTTCCATGGTGATCAATAAAAAAGAAAAAATATAATAAAAAATTACTTTGTTATTTAGTCTCACTTATATTTTCGTTCAAAAATACCTTTTTTCTTTTACTTTTTTATAACATAAAAATTTATTTGAATTTAAAATAGGAAAAAACAAGGTATAATAATAAAATGAAAAAAAGGGACACAAGAACACACAGAAAAGGGAAACAATTAACAAGATATAATTTTAAAAGGGAAAATACAAAAATTAAATGAAATGAAAAAAGGAAATAAGATTGGAGTGAGCTCCCATCCCACCTGGCCAGCTCCAATCACGGCACCTCCACCATGAGGTGTTACCGACAGTCTTAGAGGTGGCATCAGTCTGTAAGGGGCTGTTTGTTTCAGCCTCTTAATGGTTCAGATGTCTGAATGATTCAGCACTTAATGGTTCAGACTGTTTGTTTCAGTCTCTTAATGGTTCAGATGTCTGAATGGTTAAGAGATTTGCCTCTGAATGGTTAAGTATTATAGAGAGTCTGAATGGCTAAGAGCTGTTATTTGAATTGATCAGACATTTGCCTCTGAATAGTTAAGCAATATACTAGCTCTTAATGGTTCAGACCTCTTATTGGTTCAGCACTTAATGATTCAGACCTCTTACTGGTTCAGCACATATCCATTCTGAAGTTGAAAACAACCCCTAAATCAAGAGTCACTCTTTCAACCCCGCATGAGCAGTTTCAGAAGTAAATTTAAAATAAAAGATCCTCGATAGGGCCTCACAAAATGAGAGGATTTCTTGGGCTGAACCAAGGAAGCTATTTATGCTTTTGGAATATGAGTCTCAAATTTCTCTAGACGAGAACCCGTCATTATTACCCGTAATAGCAGAAAAAGAAAGAAAGAAGTTTTGCCATGATGGGTTGTTGCCTGCCGCCTACAAATTTCTCTCCCGGAAGGTAATCTCAATTTCAGATTGTTTAAATTTTGCTCCGTAATTTAACAAAACTGATTTGCAATCCGTTTGAGAACCTCGGCCATTCTTTCTCTCCGAATGTCACTTTTATTAATTCTGGGCAAAAGATACTGGCAAGTAGTGAAATGTAATGAATAAGTAGAATCTGTCAGGAGTACGAATGTCTGCTACAAATTAATACTCTAGTCCTCTTTTCCCAAAGTGTTTGTCTTTTTTTGGCGAATATTAAGCATCATTTACATTAATAATCATCAATTACATTAATCATGATTCATTTCTGCATGGAGTGGTACACTTTCTTACATATCTGCTTGTTTTGTAGCTTAGGGGCTAAAAGGAAAACCAATCAATGGTTCCCTAAATCATTGTCCAAAAAAAAGGAATCATGTCTCAAATGTTGTTTAGAAAAAGTGCAGTTTAGACAAGTGAAGTCAGACCTTGATGCAATTTCTAAAAAGAAGTGTAGTATTTCTGAATAAAATTCGATTCACTACATTTGAAGGTTGTTGAAATCAGACTCAACACTATTGAAACTCCATTTTTGATAGGGAGAGAAAGTTTGTTACAAGTTGTTTCTATCAGACTACACACAAGAAAATGCTAGATGACTAATATATATATATGTGTGTGTGTGTGCGTGTGTGTGCGTGTGTGCGTGTATATATGTATATATATATGTATGTATGTATGTATGTATGTATATGTATACACACACACATATTGTTTTTACTAACAATATATATATGTGTGTGTGTCTATATATATATATATATATATATATATATATATATATATATATATATATATATATATATATATATATATATATATATAAAGGAAAGAAAAAGGGAAAGTAGAATGACAGCTGGCTTTAACAAAATAGAAAAGTGAACATATACGAAGCAGGTATCACTACACCCCCCCTCAAGTTGGAGCTGGCCGAATGCTCAACTGGGAAGACAGGATGGCATGCTCGGAGACACCCAAGGGCTTAGTCATAATGACCGCGAGTTGATGCTGAGAAGGGACATATGCAGTCTGAAGAAAGCTATCTTGAACTTTAACCTGAGTGAAGTGGTAGCCAATGTCAAATTGTTTTGCGCGTTCTTGGTAGGAAGGAATAGCTAATTGGGAGAGACACATTGAGCTTGATATCACGAAGCAAATAACTAAAACATAAAAGTTCACAAGTAGTGGCTGTCATGCTTCTGTACTCAACTTTAGTGGAAGATCTAGCAATCATGGCTTGTTTCTTAGTTTTCCAAGAAATGAGAGCATGGCCCTAAAGAATGCAAAAACCAGTCAAAGACTTTCCGGTCATGATGAGGTAGGATCCCCAATCTGTATCAAGAAAGCCCGTGAGAGTAAGATTTTCTTGAATGGGATAGAGAATCACATGACTTATGGTTCCTTTGAGATAAAAGAGAAAATGAGTAGTAGCTTGCATATGGTGAGTTGTTGGAGCAGAAACATACTGGCGAAGATGTTGAACTGAATAGGAGACTTGGGGCTGACCAACCTGGATCCTTACTAGCTTGAGCATAAGTGGTAGGTGTCTGTATAGTAAAAACATTAGCAAGGAAACTAGAAAAACTAATAAGTAAAGAAAAGTATAGACAGAGAATAGAGGATGAGCAGTGGAACAATTGGTTTGGGCTTTAGATTGTAAAGTAGGACATACATAGTCTGAAAATTTAGCCGGAACAGTAGTGCTCGTGCATGGTCTAAGAACAAGAGGAGTAAAAGAAGTGGGAAGCTCTGTGTGTGGAGAAGATGTAGATTGGGGTATGAGATCAGGAACTCTAGTGTCAATAACAGGAAAGGAGTGAGGGAAAGAATCATTGGTGGGTAAGGAATGAGAAGATGGAATGGGGTTGGGAATGGTATCCTCATCTGAAACAGAAAAGGGGTAGGATAGAAAACATCTGGAAGAGTAGTGGTGGATGAAGAAATGGTTTTGTAGGGAAAGATGTCCTCATGAAAGATGACATCTCGGCTGAGAAAGGTGGTTTTAGTGTTTAAGTCAAAGAGTTTGTATCCCTTTTGGGCAATGGGATAACCTAAGGAAGACTTCTCCTGCCCTTAGGAGCAAATTTGTGTAGTGTTCTGCCTTCCACTCTAGCATAACATAAACAACCAATAGTATTGAGATGGTCATATTTAGGTGGGGAACCAAATAAGGTTTCTAAGGGAGTCTTCCAAGATAGTTTTGCCATGGACATGTTTATGAGATATGTTGCAGCAAGAAGGGAATCTCCTCCACAAAGAAATAGGGATTTTAGCATGAATTCTTAAACATCTAGCTTTTTCCATGAGATGTCTATGTTTCCCTTTCACCACCCCATTTTGTTGTGGGGTGTAGGTCATACTTTTCTGATGGATTATGCCAAGGGTAGAAAAAAGTTTGTGGCATTCAGATCTGACTATTTCAGACCCATTGTCACTTCTCACATGTTTGAGTTGGGTGTGGTGATGATTGTAGACAAAATGGAAAAAGGTTTCAATAATAGAACAAACTTGGTCCTTATTATCTAACAACTAAGTCCAAGTGGCTCTGGTGTTATCAACTATGGTCAAGAAGTATTTGGCTCCATTTAAGACAGGTGTTTTATAAGGTCCCCCACAAATCCACATGAATTAAATGAAAGGGCAACAGGGAAATTGTAAAGTTGTATTTTGAAAAAGAGAGCTTATGTATCTTTGCCATAGAACAACAACAATCAAGTTTAATCCCACAAAAGTAGGGTCGGGGAGGGTGTATGTACGTAGACTTATGATAGTAGAGCTCTTTGCCATAAAAGAAACATCACAATTCAATTTATATTGATCTAAAGGCTTACAATCAACAAGATTACTCAATTTGGACATAGAAGCATGACCTAATCTCACATGTAGTTGATACAGATATTCTTTAGTAGAAACATTAACAATAGAAGTAAAACAAGTGAATAAAGAACTAGGACTATGAGGTGTAGGAATGCGGGAACTGCTTTGGTGGGACAGAGAAGTGGTACTATGAGAGTGTAAAGACCATTATGTCCTTCTCTAGAAGCCAATATCCCTGTAGTTATAAGGTCCTGGAACATGAAGGAATTGTGTGAGAAATGAGTTATCCAAGATTTTGTGGATAAAATCTTCCCAACAGAAAGAAGATTAATTTAAACTCTGGAACAAATAGGGCATCCTGTCAACAGACATAAGTTGATAAAAATTTGTCCTATTTTGTCAACTCTGCCAGCGGTTCCATCAGGTAAGGTGATAGGAATGGGGTTATTTAACGTTTTCGTGTTATGGAAGAGGTTTAGATGAGGGGACATATGATCAAAGGCTCCTGTATCAACTATCCAATGACACTGTTTCTCCACATTGTGACTCTAGTCAGAACAAAGGAGGGATCAGGTGCCATACCTGCAAAGTTGGCAGTGGCCAAGTTGTTTCAGGTTGTTCTCCCTGTGCAGTTTTGCCTTTGTACATCTTTGCCATCTCCTGACATATAGTTGATACAAGGCCTTGATCCACCTGTACATTGTTGTGTCTATTTCCACTATTGTATTCAATAGGAGAGTCCATATAAGACTCATCACTCTTCTCATCATGGACAGTATGGGCTGCCAATTTGGGAAAACCAAACTTCCTGTTCTTCTTGCCTTTGTACCAATCTGGATACCCTATCCTTTCAAAGCATTGTTCATACAAATACCCTTCACTCTTGCAGAATTTAAAATATTTATTTAGAGATATCCGCTTCGTATATTTTACTTTTCTATTTTGTTAAATGCGGGCTGTCATTCTATTTTCCCTTGTCTTCTCTTTTGTACTGTGATATCCTGTGTCATGAAGAAGGCTGCTGATTCTGGTATATTCCTAGTGAAATTTCTGTGTCTCAATGTGTTGAAGTAAAATTCCCTACTTAAATTAGAAATTGGTTCAGCTGAAAGAATCTGACCACAAACTCCTTCAATGGCAGCCCATTTCGCCAGGAAATTACATTTACATTCCTTCATCTTCCCACATTCACAGGAAGTAAAGCCACTCAATTCTTGCAAAACCTCCCAGTGCTTCTTGAGTTTTGTTAAGTAGGCAGAAACTGTTAGACTGCCTTGATATATTTAGTTCAATTCCTTCTGTATCTGATATATTAGGGGAGCATTAGTATGTCCATACCTTTCTCCAATTTCAGACCATTATTCCTCTGCAGAATTGACATACATTAAGGAACCATACAGTTCAGGTATCATAGAGTTTAGGATCCAGCAGGTAACCATGTAGTCTGTCCTAAATCCTAGTGCAACACTGATCGTTAGTGTCTGTGAGTTGTGGCTTAGAACAGGTCCCATCGATGAAGCCGAGATTGGATTTCGCTCCTAATGCCATTGTGATTGTCTTAATCGAGGCAAAGAAGTTGCTTCCTGTGAACTTCGTAGTAGTCAAAGCGAGACCGGGGTTGTCTTTTCCAGTGAGTCCGTATGAATCAACAACTTGATTTCCAGACGTCTTACTGGTGGTTGATTCTCCCATTGTCTTCGACGGAGATACAATCACAGAGGAGACGAGCTATCGCGGAAGGATCAGTTAAATCATGAAAGCTCAAGATCATGCATAGATCGTAGCTTTGATACCATGTTGAAATCAGACACAACAATATTGAAACTCCATTATTGATAGAGAGAGAAAGTTTGTTACAGGTTTGTTTCTATTAGACTACACACAAGAAAATGCTTGATGAGTAATATATATAAATACAAAGGAAAGAAAAGGGAAATAGAATGACATCTGGCATTTAACAAAATAGAAAAGTAAACATATACGAAGCAGATATCTCTGCAATGGTGCATTCAATATTTTAGTATGATTTGATATGAGTTTTTTACTACCCACCGATCCGGTGGGGTGACTCTTATCATATTTAATAAAAACTCTACCAAAACGAACAAATAAAATATCAGAAAATATAAGTAAGATCCATTATATGTAGCTTATTATGAAAATAAAAAGGCTTATATTTTTCAAAAGGTGTTTTTTGTTACACGGATATGGTATTTAATTATTTTAATATCACAAAAACAAAACACACTCACGACTTCCTACTACTTATGAAGTTTTGGGTAGTAAATGCATAAGGTTCGGGAGGAAACAACCTCTCTAATTTTTAATAGGGGTCTAGTTTTGTTCATCTTAATCCCTGTATACCGCACTTAACCCTGACTCCAACGTAGTCGAGATTATACTGGGTTTTTCTATTGCTACTGTTATTATTATAACACACATGAAAATTAGATTTCACTAACCTAGGGATTTGAGTTTTCAGCAATCTGTGGAGACCATCTTGGCCAGTTCTCAAGGCTTATCCAGGAGGGAATGTGAAAGGGAAGCCAGTGCTTAGAAGAGCATTTGGGATCAATGCTGCAGTTGAATTTGTAAATGCTAATGTAGCAAAGAAGCTTGTTTCTGTTGACGGGTATGTTGTGTTAGATGTGCGTGACAAGACTCAGTTCGAGCGTGCACATATAAAAGATTGCTTTCATGTTCCAGTCTTCATCGAAAATAAGGACAATGACTTGGGTTGGATCCTTGTCCCCCCCCTTTTTACCATGCAGACTGCGTGCTTTTCGTAGCTGATTAATGTTCTGTTGATGTTACAGGAACTTCGTTAAAGAGAGCTGTGCATAGCAATTTTTCTGGCTTATTCTATGGTCTACCTTTTACTAAACCAAATCCCGAATTTGTGCAATCTGTTAGAAGCCAGTTATCACCTGAAAGCAACTTGTTACTTGTTTGTCAAGAAGGAATGAGGTAAGCAGTTTATGATTAAGGCTAAAGGGGCATAAATGCAATAAGATCACTCTATCAAATAAAAAACAGAAGATGAAATAGGGTCTTAGAATAACTCTCCCAAAACCTGAAACATAAGAATACTTCTTGCCTCAGCCATTGCCAATGGTTGTTTCTTCCTCTCAAAACTCTTCTTAGAAGAAAGCGTGATTTGTATACTGTTTGCAAACTACTAACAAAATGATTACTTAAAGAATACATTCAAGAAATCATTTTGTGCCTGTTGACCTGCCAATTGCAAAATCATAATAATTCAACACTGATAAATTCAAGATTAATGCTAAAATAGATATTAGATTCGTATTGTGTATTAGTTCACATGTTACGAATTTTTTTTTCCCGGAATTTTTACTAATTTCAGAATGTAGTTCGTTGATCACATGCTAGAAATATTACTCCATAATTGTCCACGTCACAGTTCACACCCAAATGCATCCTGACACCATCCTCACCAACCAATATTTCCTCTCATAAATAGTTGAGGCTTGTGTTAAGCAACATTAGGGTGTGAGAGACTTAAGTGACCACTCGTCCTATGCTAAATTGTTTCACTCTGTCTTTATTATTGCTGGATGGGAATATTAACAAATTCATATCTATAAAAACTTGTATGCTATCCTTTATCTTCTTGTGATATTGGCTAGTTTATTTCCGTGCATGCTTCAAGGTCTGCTGCTGCTGCAAAAATGTTGGAGGATGCTGGTTACCAGAAAATAGCTTGTATAGCATCGGGTCTTCAATCTGTGAAACCAGGTAAGTGTTCGAACAACCTTATACTTAAATCCTCTAAAATTAGTGTGGATAAATATCCTTTTTTCCAGGAACATTTGATTCCGTGGGTTCCACGGAGTTGCAAAATGCAGGCAAGGCTGGTTTAGTTATGGTACAAGGCAAGGTTTCAGCTGTGCTAGGAACTCTACTAATCTGTATGTTTTCTGTGACTATTCTTCAAAAAAAAAGAACCATTCTGCATTTTTTCTAAAAGTAAACAGACAACTTTTGTTCATAGAAAACCTAAACGGAACTCATAATCCATTAAAAATGCATCACGTTTAAGATAAAAGAAAACCAAATACCCCCAGCATCCTAAACTAGCTGTAGGTCCGTAGCTATGCTCCTCACTCAAAGACTTTTCATCCATGTCAATGCGTTGTCTTTGATTCTGCATTCTGATGATCATTATTCCTATGAATCTAGGTGCATTTCTTTTTATAACATTCTTCCCAGAACAAGCGGAAAAACTACTTCGAATCATTCCTGCCAGCTAGCCCCAATGTGAGTATATCTTTCTTGCAAATCATGAGAGCTTAGATATCTCCTAGAAAAATGTATGGTCTAGTTATTGGAAGTTGGGACGACCTCTGACACTCATTTTTAAAATGGTCTATGTAAATTACAGGCCCGCCCTATTGTGGTTGGATGCCCCGTACAATTTAATAAGTTTATGCTCAGACCTCGATCTTACTCTTGTATATGCAAAAAAATCCAAATTAGGGTTCTAGGAAAAAATCTAAATAAATTCTATTGAAAATTATTAAACGAACTTCAATATTGTAAAAAAAAATTCGAATTGAATTTATTATGCAACTGACCTCGAAAGAGAAAGATTCGGAATTTTGGATATATAAACTATAATGTATAAACTACTTTGTAGTTGAAATGAACTAATTACGAACAAATATATGGACAAAAAAGGATAACGCTAAAACAGCGAAACTAACGTATATAGTTGATATACTTAAATACTTTTTAAACAAGTAATGGAGATTCAAAACATTAAAATTTGTATCTGTTTCATAACAAAAAACTTTATTTTACATTATCTTCAAATTGGCAACTAATTCACTCAAACTTATAACCTATTTGCGAAACTTCATTTCTACTCTATCGAACGCCAAGTGATCCTTATTAATTAGCTTGAGTGCACACATTTTTGTACGTGTATGTAGCTTGAGCTAGCAATCACCTTCTTGATAGAGTAGAAATGGAAGCAGTAGCGTTCGATGCAGACAAAGTATTAGACCTAACTTTGGTTCCCCTTTTAGGCCTTGCAATATCGGGGTCAACATAAATAGGCGTAGTGGGATGCTTATCTATTAATAAGCATTTGGTTTCAAGCATATCAACAACTTAAGACATTTTTGGCCTTGTTGCAGCAGTTGCTTGTGTCAGTTGTGTGTCAATAATCCAATGTCTATGACTTTACTTCTTCTATATCATATTCATTTTCGTCTAAGGTTTTGTCGACAAACTCCATGTGCATGCCACTCTCATGCAACTTCCAAGCCTATCACGTGAGGCCAAAATGAATGTAAGAAAGAAAAATCCAAAAAGAAAACCTGTTAAATATATTTTATATTTAATGTAAATATATTGTTTCCTATTATTGACTCCTACTTTGTATAGGAATAAGAATCCCATGTCTATATAAACACATGTACTCCCACATATTCTTTCAAGGAAATTAATCTTTCTACATGGTATTGGAGCCTAAAATACCAAAACCCTAATTCTCTCCCCTTCTCTCTTCCTCCTTCGGCCCGAACCGCCGCCCCACCTGCGGCAGCCCTACTACCGCCGTCTCCTCCTCTCACCGGCAGCCTCCTCTCCTCTTTCTCACTATCATGGCCGAAGCCAGTGAAGTCACCTCCCAAACTACCTCCCCCAAAACACCTCATCTTGCTTTCACAACAGTTTCTAATGTAAAACTCCATGTCCCCGTTCAACTCAGCCTCTCTCAGCCCAACTACAAAAAGTGGAGCCGACTTTTTCTCCTCCTTGTTCGACGATTCAACCTCCAGGGCTACCTCGATGGTTCTGTCGTCCCCCTCTCCAACGATGACAACGAATGGTTCCAACTCGACGCTCTCCTCCAGGGTTGGATTCTCTCTACCATCACCGATGAGGTCTCAGATCTGGTAATCTCTTCTGTTTCTATTGCCTCTGCTCTCTGGAAAGTCGTTCACGACTTGTTCCACGACAACAAACATGCCAGGGCCATGCAGCTGGAGCATGAATTTCGCACAACCGTCAAAGGCAACTCCACCATGGCGGCTTATTGCCAACAATTGCAGAATCTGGCTGACTGGCTGGACGATGTCGATGCACCAGTCTCCGAGCACCAACTTGTTCTCCAGATGCTTCGTGGTCTCCCTGCAGATCTTCAGGCACAAACATCTTTCATGCAATTCCAGGATCCCATGCTCACGTTTCTACAGGTCCGTTCAGCTCTCATGTTTTTGGATCGCCAACAGACGAGTCCCACCGACTCGGGCTATGGCGGCGGCTACCACGGCTCTTCTCACGAATTGTGTTGGCGGCGGCTACCACGGCGGTACTCCCGGCGGCTATGGCGGACAGCATGGCGGCACGGGCTATGGTGACGGCAATTCCGGTCAACGTGGAGGCTACGGACGAGGCCAAGGCCGTGGCGGTGGAAATCGGGGGCGAGGTCGCGGACGTCAAAACGGCTCACGACCGCGGCAATCCTACGACGGCACCAATACCTGGAACTCACCAAACCCAAACCCTAACTCGGGCCTCCTAGGTCCCCGCCCT